AAGTTAACCCTTTGACGACAATGCGATTTGCACGTAGCGTGCTCGTGGGACCACGCCTCTTTTGGCGCGCTCAACTCTCGCTCAGCGTTGGGTAAAATTTTTCCTAAAAACAGTTTTTCTATCGAATTTTTGACTTAAGTAATATACCATGTATAATTACAGTTTTCAGACTTCATATCATAAATGGCTGGAAAGAGAACTGGAAGCTTGGATACAGTAGAAATTCAACCACACCCTTTGTCCGAAAACTGTAAAAACGAAGAGATCTTTAACAGTAATTATCTTCAGCCTAATAATGCAAACCTTCAATTGAAAATGGTGGCGAGCTAAATGGCGACATTATAATATCTATATAAATTAGCTCTTACTGAACATTTCTGTAAACCATGCTTAACATAAGTTTTATGAAAGTTGCTTAAACTTAATAGTATGTTAATGGTGTTCACATACGCAAAGAACGAAATGTTAAGGTGGCACTCGCTGGTTGGTGCCATTGCCGCCAAAGGGCTAATATAGGCAGCAAAAGACGGGAGCGCAGCGATACTGGTCGCGTCATTCCTCCGAAATTGTGAGTTCTCGGACAAAAAGAACCAAATCTTCGTCGCATTATTTGACAAGTTTTGGTGGCAAGTTTGGCATGAAGTTCCCGCAGCATATCTCCTCAGTCGGCAGCGCACAGGAAGACCACAAGCTCGATTATTCGATGTTCATATACTTTTGCGGTAAACGTTCAATCCAAAAATAACTTACTCAAATTTAATACAGTAAGGTGTAACATCGCAAATGGCTGAAAGTACTGGTCGAGAAAAAACAGTCGAAAAGTAGGAGACAAACGCGAGATCCCGTAACTGATATGACTTCAGACGTGCGGGTCTGATACTGCTGTAACAACTATTTTGAGAAAAATTACGAGAATTACAAATAGACAACGCACTTTTCTGGAATTTGCAGATGATTATGATTAGGTGAATACTTGGGCGAAATGTGAACAACTGGAACCCATTCCGGAATCTGCAAATAATAACCATGGACTATCGAGAATAACAATTCCATAGGCTCTTGGCATAGTGTGCAATCGCCCTTTCAGTGCTGATGCCACACTGCTGATTTCTATCTGCTTATACATGAATGGGCGGAAGTGGTGTAGTGGCAAGTGGCACGCTTACCACGCACCGGGATCAAATCCTGGGTCGTGAGTCGCCCGGGCCAACCAAGCCTTCCATCCCTCCGGGGTCGGTTAATTGGTACCAGACTTGTCTGGGAGGATAAAAACACTGACTTGTACATCGGCTGGCCCCCGCAAGTCATAGGCCACATCGCATTCAAACGCCACTACGAATGTACAAATGGAAGTAGAATGCGTGCCGCATCCCAAAAAGGGATTGATCAACGGCAAATGCTTTATCCTTTATTTATCCTTTTAATACATGAAGGCACCGTGAGTTTTTCTTCCCTACGACGTCTTACTATTACGGTATAAACTTTGACGGCAGATGGCAAGCTAAATTAGACCTTGTTGAAAATGAAGAGGAAGAGATTATAAACAGTGCAGTGTTGAACAAAAGCAAGGAAAACGGCCTTAAACCCGCGGAATAGAACTCCATAGCCCATTGATACTTAGATTAGACGAGCCAGCGAAAAAAAACATTCGCACGTATTAAAGGACGAATTCACGATCAGAGGGAAAATCGAATTAGGAGGAATTCACCTAGTTGAGGGACCCGCACAGGAGGAGGGAGTTGACCTCGTTGACCTATTAAGGTTTAATCCCGCCGCGGCTGGTCAGTGCACGCCCACCGATCATCTGATCACTCGCCGTAGTTCAATACGTGGCGAGTGATTAGATAGAGAGAGCGTAGTGTTGAAGAGGGCACAGCGATGAGAGTCGCATCAATGCTCAAATCAACGGGCAAGGAAGGGGTCCATTTCTCGGGTTCTGGGCCGTTTCTCATGGTTCTTCCTTCTTTCGTGTACCACTCACCATCCCTAGGTTAATTTGAAATGGGTTGCTTTTTCATCGTGAATTCGTCCTTTAAAGGCACAACCCAGGCAGAGGTTTTGTGAACTCTTCTCTTCGGTCAGAAGTATAGAACCCTAGGGGACAATCACAAATGTGGCGTTCACGTGCACGGAATTCGACCGACAAGAACGCTTTGGGCTTGCAAAGTAAGCTGCTCGAGCTGCAGCGAACGAGCTCTCTTATCAGGCCGTTGTCTGGTGCTCTCTCATCTGATGCGCTCTCTCGCCCCATACTCTCCTCTTCGCCAGGGTCAAGCGAGGCGTTGAGGAAAATTTGGAAATACGACCCCCCCCCCCACCACCCTCCGCCGGAGGCCGAAGTCCATGAAACAACCCTCTTCAAAAGCCGAACTATGAAAAGGTTGAAAAGCTTGTTTAATTCTCCCCAAAACTGCTCATAAAAAAGCCCTGCTACCCCACCGTCCACAAAAAAATTCGTTTAAGAAGTACAAAAGTGAAAAAGTCAAAGAATAATCATTATTGATGAGTCCTACCAAACGAGCAAACGAGAAACAGACCAGAAAACGACAAACTAGCCACTAAAAATGGCATACTATGACAACATCTGTTCTTTATTTATTTCCTCCACAAGACTTACCAAATTCTAGTACTACACAGATTGTGGTTCTCAATTTGCACGTAGCCCTTCAGTTGAAAGAAGCTTTTTAACCGCCTTCGCCAGCTGTGTGTTGACTGGACTTTGGCGTTGACCGTGGAGCAGCTTATTTACTATTGAAATTTGAACAAATATTCAAATGATTATAACTTTCTTCAAAGTTGACGAATTTTCAATCTGAAAGCAGATTTGGAAGTTTTGTGAAGAGCTTTTTCTAATCAGTATTGAAATTACAAAAAGTTATAAGAAATAACAAATTTAGATCAATTAACGAGGAAAATTCGAGATGAGCACGAGTTTTTACACTTTCCGAAGCAATAACTTGCTTCATTTTCGTCAAATTCAAAAAGTTGATATGTCATACAAAACTAGAAGATTTTCTCTATCAAACGTTGCTAAAGCAGCTTCATACGTCCAGTATTCAAAAAATGGCCACGTTGAGGATTTTTGCAAAATTAACGAGGAAAATTTGTGATGAGTGCGAGTTTTTTTACTTCCTAAAGCCATAACTCCGTTCAAACTCATCCAATCCGAAAAGTAAATACGCCATCATAAACTAGAAGATTTGCTCTATCAAATGCTTACTAGAACTGCTCCAAACGTCCAGTATTAAAAAAACGGCTACGTTGAGGATTTTCGCACGAGTACCGCCGAAAGGTACTTTTTCGCTACATTGGCACTATTTCAACGGCTGTATATCCTTTTAAGGGCGATTATGTACTAAAGTAAGAGCAGATTTGGAATCACTGCTTTTCTCTTTCTAAGAAAAGTGATTGATTAGCGTTTCTCAACTTTAAAGGTTACATGTTTATAAATTTAACCCTGAAGAGTCCGTTAACGCAGTGTTGAATGGTGTACACCTCCCTGTAAATGCGCACGGACACTTTCAGAATTCTCTCGATTGTTCCTTTTGAGGTTGTTTTTTTATTTTTTCTTTTTTTTTTTTTTTTTCGATTGTTCCTGAATTGAGGTTGTTTGTCCAAGGAGCCGTAGTTGAAGCGCGCGCAACAACTAGACCCTTTCTCGGATGCGCCGTGTACCTCACATCCCTTCAGATTCGGGGTCTTACTTGAAAGATGAAATATCTCTTGGAAAGCGTGCGAAATTCAGATTCTTTAACTTGTGTGGTGATAAAACACTGAAGTAACTAAGAATTACCGGACGCCTCAGAATCACGAAAATTTTGTGTGGGTGAAATATCATTTTCATTGGAAATCCTCTGGCCTGGCATCGACTCATCCTTGATATTTGTCTTCCGACGGTGATGATCCCACTGCATCAAAATGGCTCGATCTCTTCCACCCAGCGGGCCAATACGACCCCCCCCCCCTGCGACGTGTCGAGGATTCCTCAACGCACGCTTGACCCTGCTCTCCTCCCGCGCTTAGTCTCTCGTTCCTTTAGCACAGCCGATTAGGAAGGTGAGTGAGCCCTCAACCTGAGCGTTTTCGACGGATTCTTTTCCTTTTTTCTTCACTGCCGGCCCACTTGGCACCGATACATTCACATTCGTGTGCAAGAGCCACACCAGTGCGATCCTGGGGCATGCCTTTAAATAGCTGTCCGGATGATTTGTCAAAAGGAACGCCTTCATTTCACGTCTTACGCAAGGAGCAGATACCTAGGTATGCCCCTCCTAGCCTTACTGTGGCGACTGCCCATGGCGCGCGAAACCGCCATCTCTGAGGTCCTTCAGAACCTTGCAAATCTTTTCCAGGGATCATTATCTCCCTTTCAACTGTAAGCTGAGAAAAGTACACTTTCTTAGAGGCAGAGGCTGCATTAGACCCCTGAACTTGAACGGTCAAGCTACGATGACAAGCATACAGAAACTCACAGTGAACGATCCACGATCATGGGACAGACTGAGAGCAAGCATTGGCCGAGAGACATCAAAAATATGGCTAAGAAGTTGGCAACCCAATCCTGTACAATAGCAGTGATATATTGTAAAATAAAAACATTATGACGAGGTATTCCAATTAACAAAAGCAATCACCATCTATCCAACCCAACGACGTGTTGATTATTAACAACGATCCTGGTTCACTGGTGGTTTGAAATTCGTTCAGTAAGCGGTCAAAGATTTCCTTAAATAAGTGTTTGTATTTCTTACTGAAATCAAGGACCACACTAAAATTTGTGAAGCAGGTCCGTTTTTTGGGGCGAAGTAGAATATTTCGTATTAAAACACCATAAATATATGGAAAACCACGCTAAAAAGTTATAGGAGAGATTGAGGGCTCTAGAAATTGAACCATCCAAGAGAATTCGTTCTGAAATAGAGATCTTATCACATCTCGGAAATCGAAAATCTCGTAAATCGAAACTCAAAACTGTGGAAGACAACAAAATTTCCAGTGCTCGTAACACGAACCTTGTATCTATCCGCATCGTCGGCCGGAGTGATATTACCGAAGAAGTAACAGCATGGGTAGATTTGCACCTGGTGTGTGCAGGGAACATCTTAAGAAATATAACAACGAAATCAGAATGAAAGCAGAAAAAAAAGAAAGTTGAATATCTACAGGTCTCATGAGTTAAAAAGAGCGATATAGCTGGATGAACGCCTTTAGCAAAAGAACGATCATTTCACCTACCCTCTGAACAAAGAAATCGAGTTGAAACTCACCAAGGATAGGATCAGAGATTTTCCATAGGGACATGCAGCCAGCAGGTGTGAACTCGCTCTGCCCAACATCTGTATCGAGTAAATATATGGGTGGTCCCTCGCTGAAACCATTAAGATCCGGGTTACTAATAAAGAAAAGAGGGAAGTTGATAGCCACTGACCATCGGAGATTTGTGTGTTGATAAGATGTCGAACGAGAGTAGATTACCAGACCCTGCACTACCAACCGGCACGATAGCACAACGCATTCCTTCCACTGCAATTTTGGCATAAATCAGAAGCTTCAGTGGAACTGTGACAGACTTTTGGGAACGCAAAACGAATAGACACCAGGGCTGGTTTCCACAACGAGATTTCGCTGATTAACATGATCGTCACCGTTGGCGTTTCCCTTGCCGTCTCTACGTGCTGAATTTCGCGAGTTCCAGCTACAGAAGGACAAGCAGGTACTTAATGTGCTTGCTCTTTCAAGGTCTAGAAAGGTAAAATTACTTGTTTTAAGATAGGACCCCTTTCAAAACGACACCTACCACACCGCCGCACTTCTACCTCTACCCTTCTTCTCTCCAAGTTTTTTTTTCGTTTTTCCAAAAGACCATTGACCAAGAGAGGGGTGGCGGTATTTCCCTACATTACCAGGGAGGAAATAACTTCTGAATCCTTCAAAAAATTTAACAAAGTTCCTCTTGACATCAGTTGAAAAGGCATCCATCAACAGTGAACTTCCCATATGACCACTTAATCAGGTCAAACATGTAATTATCTAATCAGCCGCGGCGAGTGACTGGATAGCGGAGAGAGCGTTTGCGTTGAAGAGGGCACAGCGATGAGAGTCGCATCAATGCAAATCAACGGGCAAGGAAGGGGTCCCATTTCTCGGGTTCTGGGCCGTTTCTCATGGTTTTTCCTTCTTTCGTGTACCACTCACCATCCCTAAGTTAATTTGAAATGGGTTGCTTTTTCATCGTGAATTCGTCCTTTAAGCAAAACTGGGAAAAGGAAAACTGAAGCAACAGGAGGTCAGTCAAACAACTCGTTTTATATTAAGTATACCTATCTCACTGTGCGCAAGCCGCTGGTGTAGCGGATTACTGGGTGGTCTCCTCAGACTTTATTTGCTCACTTGTCTATAGATCGTTTTGGTGTTACCACCACAACGTGATGAAAGGAGGTCCAAACAAAGTATTTTCGAGGCCTATCAAGTATATGTGAAGTAGGAAGGCCAACTTTTCGCCGGCCGCCTTTTACAACTATGCTTACGTATTGGAAGCCCTTGATTTCCGCAACATCAAAATCTTGTAACCTCTGTTCTTGTTGATCTCGCCCATTGCTTGTAATAACTTCGTCTGAGATTCCTCAAGGTATGGTTCGAATTCACCATTGAAAAACAATGTCCGATCAAACTGACAAGCCGACCGCAGCCAATGATGGCACAAAGAAGTCCTGCAAGCTAAGGAGCGCATGAAAAGTAAGGTGAAACTCATACAACAAATACATACCTGCAAAACTTGATCTAATACTCGGATCGTCTGAGAAGGTTTTCTATCGATAACTACAACACCAGGATACTTTTCTCCTATCATTTCCATGACTTGCTCATAGCGCGGTGTTATCTGCAGAACGAGGGAATTTTCGAACAGCTACAAAATCGTATCACGACTTTAAGCCTTCAAAAAAGGGAAGAGATTTCGTAATGAATACATAAGCCGAAGATCCGTAGAATCGTGTTTTGCATGCAAGTCAAGACCAACAAAGAATTCAGACTCGCTCAAAGAAATCATCCACTAAAAATCCTTGCATTGCTTCCCAGCACGAGTACGTCAGTTGTGATCTTCGCGCAAGATAATTCAGTTTCCAAAGAGAAACAAACCTACAATAACCACACTGGGGACGGTCGCGGCTAGGTTGAGCGCATAGGAATAAGTGCGTCTCGCAGCGGGCACTTATTAGGGACCCTTGAATGAATCGAATCAAAGAGTTCGAATTCGGAAGGTAGAGAGGAAACGATAGATAAAATAGGTTGCAGTGGTAGAGTGAAATGTTTTTGCCAAAGGTGGACGGTCAAAAAGAGTTTCTAACGACGGCACCCCAAGAAGCAAGTCTAAGCGTTCCCGCCGCCACATTTGTGACAGATGTATGGCGGGAATTTGAATGTGTAACAATCCTAGTTTTCCGAAATGTTTATCAGACCGAGAGCGATATTTTTGTTTTTCTCATTCTTATCGAAGAGTATGGCCCCCAGGTACCATATATGGGGAGGAGGGACAGAATAGCGATTTTTCCGTGGACGATTCCTTTAACCGCAATTCATTAAAGGCAAAGGTCGGGCTCAGGCACGCTAGAGAAGTAATTCCCGTGCCTGGAGGTTGTATGTGGGTAGCTGCACACATTGCAGCAACTTCCCACCTTGAAAAACCCGTTAAGGCGTTCGGTTTCAATCCAGGGCCGCCTGGTCAATCCAGGACCGCCCACCTCCGGAAGTGGTGCGTGGCTGGCATAACGTGTGAAATCAGCTAGGTTGATTGCCGTATCAACCGATAGAACGACTGACATCTCCAGAAAACTTGTTTGTACGTGCCTCTTTCCCCAAGCCAGCCTCCTTCACTGCTAGTGGGAAAGAGGGTTTTGTTAACGGCCTTGTCGACGGTTTTTCTCAGTTTTTTCTCCACTGTCGTTCCACTTCGCATCTCTATACTCAGTTTATTCGCCATAATACCCCTTAATGAGCCCGACTTTTGCCTTGAAACGGTTGCTATTGGGAGCTTATATGTGGATGAACGTCTTCGCGACGCCGGCATGCA